TCCCTGGATAAATGAAGCCATAACAAAAGAGAAAAATCATTCTGTCCTTAAGCAAAACGACAAAAAGAAAGGAAAAGAAAAGAAAAAAACGACTTTAGATTTAGTTTTCTGGAAAAGCATCTGAAAATGTTTGATATTCAAAACAACGAGAGAAGAAGTTTTTCCACCCTTCTGATCTCGTTTGTTTTGCTCGAAAGGTTTTTATTTTCCTGCTGACATAAAAAAACCGGTAATGCTACCAAAGTCTCTTGCTAGGTGTGTAATGGCAATTGTCCCAATTATCCGCTTTCTTACTGATAAATCATCCTTAGTGAAGCATCTCAAAGTAGCCATCCTGCTGTAAATGGCTGGCAACAGTTTCCAACACTTCCCAGCAGTTCTTCTTTGAGGGTATAACTGAAGTACGTCCACTCTTTATCAAATCTTCGAAAATTTAAGTGAACTCTGAACCTCCTGGACGGGTTTGTTTTTAAGCTTTGAAAAATTTGCACCTTATCATGCTGATTACAATTCCAGTCCACAATGCAACGTATGGTTTACTGAGTATTTTTTTTGTTGGGGGAGGGGGAAGGGGGGCCTTATCGGAACTTCAAAGTTCGCTATTAGTTCGCACACGCTGTGTGCATCACCCAGCCTGGAAAGCATTGTTTACACGCCACCCGCGCGCTCGGGTGAAACTGACGTAATCAAAGTGTACGCCACCATAACTGAACGACTAAAATGAAAGCCAAATTTTCCTTCTGCAACCATATCAAGTTTAATGAGCATGTACTAAAACCAGGAACGCCAGAATAACAGCATACCGCTCACCAGTAACTGTTGTTGGCTTTCAGCTAAAAAAAAAACTAACCGCTATTCATAAAAACTGTTTATCCTGAATTAAAAAAAAAAAAAAAAAAAAATGTTCAAAAATGTTTGATGCTGTTGTTTTATCGTGAGTCCACAACGTTTTGACAACTCTGATGACGCGTATCGTTGTCGAATAAGAGTACAGACAACGAAAAACCACATTCGCTTTGTTAAATACACCACGGTATAAAAGTAAAGTAAAAAAGTAAAAGTAAAGATTTTAGATTTGTTATGTTTTAATCTTGTAAAGGAAAATTCTATTGGTTTCCTTTCAATCTGGTGCGGTCTCAACAGCGGCGACACTGGGCTTCTCGCTCTTTACTTTTCAACACCTATCGCCCGAGCTTATGTAGATAGACATGTCGATTTTGTATTTTGTAGGTCGGATGTGTCTGTTAGGGAGCTCAAGTTTATAGGATAAAGTACAGCACTTACATGGTACCCCATACACAAATCCTCCTTTTAGAGTCTGTGCTAAACAGCTACGAATCCAACGTTCTCTGCCGGTCGATTATTCGATCGATACTTGCAAAACAAAGATATCAAAGACGACGGATCGCAAATTACCCTAGTTCCCAGTGCTCTTTGGTTCGAAGGGATAAATCGCGCTCCTCGATCCGGGTGCCTGCACAAGCGTGACGGATGACGAAACGCTGGAAAGCGAAGCTTATTGAGCTCTACGCCTCGTAAGATGACTCAACACTCATACTGGCAATAAATAAGCCAGATATCTTGACGTGAAAAATCGCGATCTGAAGAGTATTTAGTCGCATTTGAAACTCGCTCGAAAAGGAACGTGCGATCGTTTAGCTACAATTCTCGCTTCGCCAGTGTCACGATAAATATAAACATTATTTTGTTAATTACTTACGATACCTTCTGCGTTGTTTTCCTTCCCTAAAACCATCCTCAGAATCCGTTGAATTTGTTTTAAATTCGTTTCAGCGTTTCACCATTTTGAAGCGAATAGACCATTTTGCAGTTGCCTGCTTAATGACCTGGCCTTTGAATGTCAACGAGACTGGGGGTAACCTTGTTTTGATACAGACCTTAATACTTTTGTTGTGTAAATCAAGTTGTTCTTATGCTAACTAGTTGGCATTTAAATGAGAAAAGCAGACAGGTATGTATTARAGCAAGGTCACCTCCAGCCTCGCTTGCATTCATGGCCAGGTAACTAAGCGCACAACTGTAAAATGACCTATTTCGTTGATCGCGAAAAAATCGTTTCGTCATGTAAGCCATATTTGAGTGTCTTAGCTCAAGATCACTCAGTAATTGAGTAATACTATCAGCTTCCTGTATTCCAAATTTGGAAGAAATCAGAAGTAATACAATTGTTTCGCTAATAACGCGTAACGCAAACTTTTCGTTAATTTAACCCCACGGCACACGAGTTGACTGAAATGAGTTTTAACGTAAATCAAAGACAAGATATTTTCAGTGTTTATATGATAGATGTAAACCCAAATAAACTGCTTTTCTAACTTTTATATCTTTCTTAACTTTGATCCATTTTATATAATTTCAACCAGACTCCCCACCTAGATGATGTCGTGTCCCTTTGCTTTAGGTAGAAACGAGTATACAACCAAATCGAAGCTTTGATG